TATACATATTCATTTAATGTATATTTTACATTAAATGATTTATTATGAATTAAGTATTTAGGTTAGCGTTGGATGATACCCTGCATAATAAATTTTTTTAAATCATAAAATCTTCTGGAAACCTTAAATATAAGTCTACTTTTTAACTTTCTTTTGGAAGGGGCACCGAAATTTTGATGGGAATGTGAACCCAGTTTTTCCTGAAATCATAACAAGAAAATAAATACATAAAATTGATTAACTATATATGTAATATATATAGTGTTCATATAAAATAACTGATCAGATATTGTATATATGAATATGTGTATACATCGGTTTTTACATCCAAAAATATTTGTAGTTGAGAAAAAATTTATTTATAATTATTTTGTATCATAATTATGCGTATGAGGGAAGTATGTTGAACTTATAACAAAGCTTAAGTTATTAATCTTCAATGATAATATTTTAATCTTGAAGACAGTAATTTGTAAACAAAATTTATGTTAAATAACTTACTGAGCTTTTCTAAAAACAAATTAAATCTTTCCGTAACTTAGGTAGCAATAAAAAAATTAGTTTTACTTGTTTTAAGCTATTTTCTGACGCAAGAAAGACATGTAAACTCTATATTAAACTTAAAACTATGTTTTCACGTTAATCAATTCCAATGCATGTCCTTTTAAACCTTTTGTTTTACTCAAATTAATAATAGTGCTTTGATCAAGCACTTAAAAAATTTTATGGATTCCTAAAAAGTGACCAATTCATAGTATTTTGTTTGCTATAATGAAGTTGTAATTTAATTTTAGTTGGCTTATATATCTATGTATAGTAAGTCGGCTCTTTTGGTTTTTGCTTCAAGAAATGAAATATTCGATCTTGTAGTTTTTACCAGTAATAGTGATGCTAGCCAAGGAAAAAAATAAATACTAAAAAGTTAAGCAATAGAATAGTATATAAAAGTATCGATATTTACTCATAAATGCGCTTCTATCGATTCTTTAGAGATAGCGAAAGTTATTTGTACTTTGATTCTTGGAAATGATATAATATATAAAATGACAGCGTATTCTGCTTGTACTTAAAATAGATAAGAAGAAATTGATATTAAATTTGTATAGTAACTTTAACTATTTGAGAACTGGGTGTAAAACAATAATATATGCCATATTATCAAGGTTATCATATACGAATTAATTTGAAGAAATTTGTACCTAATAACATTGTGTAAGAGATGTGAAAAATAGATATTTTTTGCTTTTGATTTGCTAACTTCATTGGCTATTCAAATTGAATCGTGTTTTAACGAATTTTGTCTTCACTTGATATTTTGTTGGCTTGGCTCTTAAGTTGAAATGACGATTTTACTTTTTGGCGGTTAGTCCTATATTTCAGATCACGGTTGTGATTTAACACAACAGACCTCTATCTACAATCTATAAGCTTCAAAAATACCTTCCGTACGCAGCAAGAACTATTCTGGCCTAATATAAGTCCAAATATCTTTTTAAACTTTTTAAACAATCTGTCATGCATAAACCAAAATATACCGAACATATGCCCCAACTGCAGCTGTACTCCTAATAACGTTGCCTATCTGCTAGCTTTCCTCAGCATACCAGCCTGACCCCTAATTTGTGAATTTTAGAGTTAAAGAGAAAGAAGAATTATGTACTTTATCGTACATAATTCCCATAGACTACTTTCGTGCAAGTTTTGATATGCTTATATGTCCTTGCTTGCTACATTGCAATGGCTTCTGCAATATCAACAGAGGAAAGATAATCTTGCAATTAAATAAAAATTAAAATATTTGTTTTATTTGTCTGTTTGTAAGCTTAAATGTACTTTCATGATTCGAAATATGAAAAACTTTCAACTGTAAAAATATTCTTTCAATTTTTAAGCTATTCGATTAAATTCGTGCATAGCGACCCTAAATGATATTAATTAAAAATCTCATAATGAAAATGAACACATAAATGTATACAAGATTAGTAAATATTTTAATGTAAATATTAATTAAATTTAATATATGATTTTTTTGCAATTTCAGATATTGGGCTAATGTTGATATACCACATGGTACAAATGGTTTTCAGGCAGTTTGTCCATTTTGTGCGACGCCACTTGATGGTTCTTCTGGTTATATCAAATTAATATTTCAGGATAATTTAGATTAAATATATTAGGTCTTTTACAAATATATTAAAATTATTAAAATTATAAATTTAAATATTATTTTTATATTAATTATACATTAAAAAATATTTAAATTTAAAAATTTATTTATATAAATTATTGCAAATATTATTTAGAAATATTTTAGTTTGAATACATGTATGCCTGAAGCGAACATATAATTGAAATTAAGTAAAGTATTAAAAATATACAAAGAAAATAGCTATTAAAAAATTAATATTATTAATGCAAAATAGTGTAAAAATATATAATAAATAATATTTCTGTTAAAAAAAAATAAATTGTAGAAGAAAAGAAGTACACAATTTATAAAGAGATAACGATTAAATATATTTATATAAATAAAATATTAAAACGTGTAATTGTAAAGCATTGTATAAAGTAAAAGAAATAAATTCATATTAAATATAATAAATTAACTAGCAATTTGGTGAAATAAATTCATTAATGAAAAATTGCATATATAATTTAGAGCTTAAATATATAAAACGAAAACCTTAGATGTGTTGCTATTTTGAATATTTATAATAAATTAAAAATGTTTTTTTTTTGTATTTTCACTGCATGTGTTATTTTTAATTAAAATATTTTACTATCATTTTTTACAACTTTACACATATATTTGGTTAATATTTTTATACAAATTTATCACTTTATATAATTATTTGAACACATTTTTTACCCACCATACCAATTTTATTTTCTACTATTAATTTTTAAATATTTTGTGTATTGTTGATTCGTAGCAACAAAGTTGTGTATAAAAATTTATATATTAAATATAAATATATACATTTATATGTATGTGAAAAGTTTTATGAATGTTAAGATATAAAAATTACATATTAAGCTTAAAAAGAAAACGCATATATTTTATTATTAAAAACGTTTTATTATAATGAATTAAATTTATTTTATTTTAGTAATTAATTTTTTTTTATTGAAATATTTTAGACTTTTAACAAAAAGTACACAATGCGAAATGAAACTTAACTAATTTCATGATATATAACTGTATTGTAAAGAAACATCAGATAATATAAGAGATATACTATACTAACTATATACATATTAATTATATAGGATGATATATTATTTTCTTAATTTACCAAAGTCGTATCAATTTACTTTATCGCTGCCTAAGATATTATACAATTTTTGATTCAGATCCTATGTGCAAGTCATATGTTTTAAGTGCACACTGTGTAAAATCGAATGCAAATAGAATCTTAAAGTTTCCAAATCAAAACTTTTGCCAATTAAAATTTATATAAAATTTCAACTAAAACTTAAAACTGCAATAGAATTTATGATATAATGAAATTCATGATAATTTTTTTTTTAATTTAAAAGTACGAAAATGAAAGAGTAATAAAATTTTTCACTTTTAATATTAATACTAAAAAATAATCTAAAATATATTTATAAATTTATTATTTTAATAGAATAATATACATATATTGAAATTTAAAAATATTTAAAATTTTGATCATATACAGCGATATTTTATTTACTATTTAATTTTTAATCTTATTGAAACTATTGCAATACAAATTATTTAGTATTGTATAGAATATTAGTTTTAGCTTCACTTATGATTACTAATTTTTGTTTTATAAATTTTATGGTAAATAAATACATTTTATTTAAATATTCAGTATAATATTAAAGCTATTTGTCAAAAGAAAAAGGAATTATATTATTTTAAGTTTTATATCAGATACTGCATAAAAAAATTGTTCATTGCTGTCATTGTTTTCAATTATATTACAGTTCTGTACAAAATCATAACATTATTTTATTCATCCTATTATATATATATATTTTATTTAAGCTATTCTCAGCTCGTATTTTTTAAATGTATCATTTCATGTTCTTTTAGTAGTGTATGTATGTAATTATTAAATTTTCATATATATATTTAAATTTAGTTTTAATTAATAAAAAAATTTTTTTACAAACAACTAACACGATTTAAAGAAAAGCCTGTAAAAAAAATTTATTATGAAGGAAAATATCATTTAATTGCGCTATTTTCTAAGCCATATTTTTTAAGAATATTTAAAATGAATATAAATAATGTTCAAAATAAATTTACACATAAAAAAATTTATTTTGATTTAATTGAATATTATACTTGGCTTTACAAAACTAAAATATTTATATTTAATAAAAAAAAAAATTTACATAAATTAATAACGTTAACAACAAATCTTAAAAAACAAGAAAATAAAATAATTAATGCAACAAAAAATATCTCTAGAAAACAAAAGAAAGATAGCAATTGTGTAATTATTTAATTTTATTGTAAAATTATAAATTAACAAATAAAGATCAAATGAACTGAAATTTAATTAAAATCACGATTTATTAATTTAATAATTTTTCAAGTGTCAAATATATAGATTATTTCTGAAATTTTTGGGTCTATATGATAATTCCTATTTTTATAAATTTTCTTATCTATTCGACACATTCATGACATGGTATAACAAAAACAAAAGCATATCAAACTGTATTTCGTTTCAAGTATTTCGTATTCAAGTATTAAAATTATTTTCAATATTCAAGAAATTATAACAGTTTTTATTTATAGGAAGATTCAATTAAACAAAGTCAGAATTATATAAATGAAAGACACAATTCATGTAAAGATGGTTGTTAGGTGCTAATGGTTTTAAAAGTGGGTTTAGTTTTTAAATGTGGAG